GTCACCCATTTTGAATAATATTGCATGAGTTCTTTGTTTTTCAATGCAGTGTAGTATTCCATTGTGTGAATATACCACAGCTTCTCTATCCATTCCTTTGTTCATGGCCACTTAAGTTGTTTCCAACTCCTTGCTACTGTGAACAAAGCCGCAATAAACATGGATGTGCATATATCTGCTTGAATGTCAGTTACGGTCTCCTTAGGATATAGTCCCAGTAGTGGAATTGCTGGGTCAAATGGTATCTATCTCTATTTGCAACTTTGAGAAAGCACCACACCACTTTCCACAGTGGTTGCACCATTTTACACTCCCACCAACAGGGAATAAGGGTTCCAGTTTCTCCACTACCTTGCCAACATTTGTTGCTTGCTGTTCTGTAAAATTTTGCTATTCTTTTTTATTATTATTACTGTATTTTTACGTGTACCGTCAAATCAGATCTAACTGGTACAGGAGGCGATTGCCCCCTCCTTCTCCAGCAGAGCATCTGGTGGATTTGAACTGCATACCTCTGGGATTGCAGTGCAGCGTCTTGCCACTAGGCCACCAGAGCTCCCTTTAAATTTTGCTATTCTTAAGATGACATCTCATAGTTGTTTTGATTTGCATCTCTCTTAGAGCTAGAGATTTTGAACATTTCTTCATGTCTTTGTTGGCCATCTGAATGTCATCTTGGGTGAAGTATCTGTTCATACCCTGTGCCCATTTTTCAATTGGATTATTTACCTTTATCTTGTTGTGGTCTTTTTCACTTTTGTAAATACGGTCCTTTCCAAAGAAGTTCTTAATTTCTGATAGTCCTTTCTCTATTTTGTCTGGCTGTTTATGCTTTTGTTATCATAGCTAATAATCCATTTTTAAAAAACATACTCTTACATTTTCTTCTAAGTATTTTGTGGGTTTGGTTTAGGTCCCTGGTCCATTTTGAATTGGATTTTTTGTATATTGTTACATTTGGATTCTGATTATTCTTCTGCATGTGGAAATCTTTTTCCCAGCGCCATTTATTAAAGAGCATCTTCTTTCCCAATTAAATAGACTTAGGACCCATGTTAAAAATCAGTTGACCATTGTTAGTTTAATTTCTGGACTCTGAATTCTGTTCATTGGTATATGTCTATTACTATACCAGCATGAGGTTATTTTAATTACTGTGACTTTACAGTGTGTTTTGAAATCAGAACTTGTAATTATACTGCTTTTGTTTCTCTTCAAATTTGTGTTAGCTATTCAGTCAGGGTCACTTACCTTCTGATGTAAATGTGGCTCTATATCTTTTAAGAAGGCTCCAGGAGTTAGGGAGGAGGCATTGATTTTACAGATTGCATTGGGAATGGTATTTACAACTGTGCTGAGTTTGCTAGTTCCCAAACTCAGAATGTCCTTCTATTTACTTAGTTCATCTTTAATTGTTTAAAAAATAGGTTTTGTATCTAAACATTTATTCCTAGGAGCTTTATTATTTTCGATGCTATTGTAAATCATAATAATTCTTTAATTTCCTTTTCCATTTGATCATTTCTGAAACATGGAAATCTGAATTTTGTGTAGTGATGTTGTACTTGACCACGTTACTGAATTAATTTCTTAATTCTAATGACTTAGGATTCTCAGGAATGTTCTATGTACAGAGTTCTGTTGTCTGCAAAAAATAATTATAAAAAGCTGATTTTTAAAGGCTAGTATGTTGATACTTCATTTGTTCTTTTCTAAGTATTTCATTTATAATTTCAGGAAAACAGGTAACAAATTCAGTAGAGCATTCAAATCAGTCAGTTGGAATTCATGCACAAAGGTGAGCATAACTGTAGAATCTAATCATACATTCTTTGAATCCTTGCATTCAAGACATAAAAGATTGTATTGCTGCTAATAATTGAGTTTTGTTTTCATTTGATAGAACTGAAGTTTCTGACAAGAATATCACAACAGATGTTGGAAGAAAATTGGATGAAATTACAGCTCCCTTCTCAGGAGAGAATACAGTTCCAACAAGTAAACCATTGGAAAGCCACAGAAGGGTGCTCTGTTTTGATAATACTACTTCTGCTGTGGCAAATACACAGGGCCCAAACCCTAAGATGGTGTCACAAAACAAAGAGAAGAGTGAAATTTCTGTTCCTCATCTTGACTCTCCCATTGTGTCCCCTCCCATAAAATCCCCTTCGAATAATGCCATCAAAAAAGAAAGAGAGAAACTTCCTGTGCCTAAGATCTTATCAAAATCAGAAACTGCCACTAGCCGGCATACTACCATAAGAGAAACTCAGCAAGAAAAAAAAGCTTTGCCAACAGAAATTGTACTTGAGACTTTTCATAAAGCAACAGCTAATAAGGAGAATGAATTGTGCAGGGATATGGAGAAGCAAAAAAATCCAGAAACTACAAAATTGTCTAATGGACAGCAAAATGGGAGTTTACGGAATGAGAAAACTGTAGCTTCATTGCAAGAACAGACCAGAAAGCAAGGCACATCCTCAAACAGTAAAAATATCATTTCAGTAGGTACAGCTGTGAAGGATGTAAAACAAGAACAAACCAAATCTCCCAGTTGTTTGCTTAACCCGCTAAGCAAACACACCTCAGAAGTGTTACAAGATGTTCAGAGGCACAGTCCAGTAAATAGACTTGCCGATAGTGGTGAATTACCTATACCTCGGACCCCTGGCTCAGGAATAGGGGAGAAACATAAAGAAGAGTCAACAGATGGTATCAAGGTCCCCTCTAGTAGGCGTTTAGGTGAAGAGAGTAGCGCACCCAAAGCAATGGTCCCTCCTGCCACCCCGGACCTGCCTGCTTGTAGCCCTGCCAGTGAAACAGGAAGTGAGAACAGTGTCAACATGGCTGCGCACACGTTAATGATTCTTTCCAGAGCAGCTATCTCTAGGACAGCTTCAGCGACTCCTCTGAAAGATAACACACAGCAATTTCGATCTTCAAGGAGCACCACCAAAAAGCGGAAAATCGAGGAGTTAGATGACCGTGAGCGAAATTCCCGTACCTCTAACAAAAATCTTGGAAATTCATCCATACCGATGAAAAAGAAGAAAATTAAGGTAAGGGTCAAAGTTTGAATCTTGCAATCCCATCCTTATTAACCGTACTAAAGAGCTCAGCACTTTACACAGTTAGCAGAATACATTTTATAGTTGTGTTTCTCAGCCAGTGTGGTACTCAGAAGTGATTTGGAAAAAACAGCAGTTTCAAAACAACTGTGAAAGCATTTGTTTTTGTAAATTTCTTCCTTTGTATCTTTTTTTTCTGGGTTCTTCTGTGCCGTCGAGTTGCTTGTGACTCATAGCAACCCTGCTCTATCCTATGCCAACCTCACCGTCTCTGACACCCGCACTCCCACCACCCCAATCACAGAATCAATCCATCTCATCAAGGATCTTCCTCTCCTGCACCATCCCTCCACTCTCCCAAACATGATCTCCTGCTCCAGAGACCAGTCCCTCTTTGCAACATGCCCAACTTATGTCAGACGAAGCTTCAGAATCCTTGACTCCAAGGAGCATTCTGGCTTCACCTTCTCCAGGACAAACCTGTTTGTTCTTCTAGCAGTTCATGGTATAGTCAACACTCTTCTCCAGCACCACAGCTCAAAGGCATCAATTCTCTATCATCTCTAGTCACTGGTCAGTGTCTAACTCTCCAATGCATAGCATGTAATTACAAAGACTGTAGCCAGGATCAGGCGCACCTTAGTCTCCAGCCTAACGTCATTGCTCTTCAGTACTGTTGAGAGGTCCCTGACAGCTGACTTTTTCAGTGCAATTTGTCTCTTGAATTCCTGGCTACTGGTACCAAGAATGTTGACTGTGGAGCCAAACAAACTAAAACTGTTAACTATCTCAGTCTCTTCACCATCCATACTGATGCTGCCAATTGGTTCAGTTTTGAGAACATTTGTTTTCTTGATGTTGAGCTTCAGTCCATATAGGAGGCTGCAGTCCTTGACTGTCTGCAGCAAGCGCTTCAGGTCCTCCTCAGTTTCAGCAAGCAGGGTTGTGTCATCTGCATAATGCAGGTTGTTGATGATTCTTCCACCAATCCTGATGCCACATTCCTCCTCATACAGCTCAGCATTTTGGATGATCTGTTCTGCATACAGATTGAAAAGGTATGGAGACAGAATACATCCCTGATGGACCCCCTCCTTCTTTTTGAACCATGTAGTGTCTCCTTGCTCTGTTCTGACAACTGCTTCTTGGTCCAGGTATAGGTTTCAGCATAACCAAATGTTCTGGGATTCCCATTCTTCTCAGAGTCAGCCAAAGCTTGTTGTGATCCACACAGTCAAAAAGCCTTTGCATAGTCAGTGAAGCACAGATAGACATTCTTCTGGTATTCTCTGCTTTCTGCCAAGATCCATCTAACATTAGCTATAATATCCCTAGTACCACGACCTCTTCTAAATCCAGCCTGCACATCTGGCAGTTCTCTGTTGACATATTGCTCCAATCATTTTTGGATAATTTTCAGCAGAATCTTGCATTATTATTAATGATATTGTTCAATAATTTCCGCACTCTGTTACGTCACCTTTAACAAATACAGTCTTTTCCAGTCAGTGGGCCAGCTGGCTGCCCTCCAGATTTCTTGGCACAACTTAATGAGCACATCCAGGGCACTGTCTATTTCTTGAAATATGTCAGTTGGTATGCCATCAACTCCTGGAGCCTTGTTTTTTGCCAGTTCCTTCAGAGCAACTTAAACGTCCTCTATCACCAGGCTCTTGCTAATATGTTATTTCATGATATTCTTCTGTGTCAGCCAATTCCTTCTATTGCAGTGACTCTGTACTCCTTCCATCTTCTTTTAATGCTTCTTGGGTCGTTTAACACTCTACCCAACGTATCCTTAAGTGTTGCCACCCATGGCTTGAATTTGTTTTTCAACTCCTTCAGCTTAAAAAACGCTGAGCAAGTTCGGCCCTTTTGATTTTCTGACTCTAGCTCTCTGCACATTTTTTAGTATCTTGCTTTGTCGTCCCAAGCTGCGTTTTGAAATTTTCTGTTTAGCTCTTTGATTTTTCACAGGTTAGGACCCTAATAATCTGAATTTAGGACATGAGTTCTAGGCAAAAGCCCTTTTGTTCTGTCCACTCTAGGAAAGTCCATGTCTCTCTTCAGCTTTTAGGCTCTTTGGCAGTCATGAATGTATCTTTGCTCTACTTGCTCATTTAATCTGTTCTTTTATATGTCAAAAAGAGATTGATTAAAGAAACACCTTGTTGGGTAATGCTGCCTCCTTGATACAGCCAAGGAGAAAGCAGTCTCAAATGGAGTTATAAACGTAAGAGCTAGAGGTAGGATCTACAGCACTTTTTTTGGTAGGAGCAACAGTTCCAAACTAAATACAGTGCATCTCACATTTCATTGCAGTCGAGTCAGAACTGTAGCATAGCTGACCTTCTCTGCCGTTTCTAAGTCTGTAACTCACAGGGGAAAATACTCCACTCGTTCCCTCCTGGATCACTGATGGATTCAAACCCCCAGAGAGGCACAGCCGTTAGCTGAGCAGCATAACTCCCCATAGGTTGCACCACTAGGACCATAAACGGGAAAAGGGGGCTTTGTATTTCTGTTACAGTGGATCCATCTTGAGTTTCCTTTTTATATTTTTAATTGCAAGGATGACGTAAGGCAGAAAAGATGTATAACTACTGTTGTGTAGAATGCCAAACAAAACATGTCAAAGTTTAACTGTTCTCCATTAACCTTGGATTTATAAAATGTGTTTCTACTTCTCTGCAGAACTAAAATTTTAATAGGGTAAAAATTTTACCTATTTAGTAGTATATGTAACCTGTTAAGATTCTAGTGATTTAATAGAGGGCCTTTGGATGTTGTTTGATTTCACTGCATTAACTTGGGTTTCTATTATCTTTTGTGTTTTTATTTTAACAGAAAAAGAAGCTACCCAGTTCCTTTCCAGCCGGGATGGATGTGGATAAATTTTTATTATCGTTGCATTATGATGAATAAACATTCTGAATATCCATGAACAGTAGCTGTTTAAAACTGTTATCCCTTAAACTGAGTGTAGGAAATGGGATACTAACAGATTCTGGACGCTGACCTGCACTTTCATTGTACTGAAACTTCACTTTATATCTAAATCATGCTGTTTCTGAAGCAGCTTCCTAATCTGTAAATAGATTTACTTGGAATACTTCTATTTTGGAAGAAATGTTTGCAGAAATGTAAGTAAAGCCAGTCTGCAAAACTGTATAGCTTTGAAATTGCATATTGTAAATACTGTGTAAATGTTGTTGAAATAGAAGTTAAATCAACCTAATGTTCTTATATTGATTTTGAATTCTTATGATCCCAAGTTGTGAGGTTTACTCATCTAGAATAATTTCTCACTTTTCTGTTGGTAAAATACTTTTCTTTATAAGTTGTTGTCAGTAAATATCCAAAAAGATGTTTATAAACAGCTACTAAATAGTATAAAAGTTAAATCAACTTCAACTGGTAGTACAAGACCTAAGCAGATACCAGCAGTTTGATGGTTTGGTTTTAGAATGAGTACTTTACTACCCCTGCTTATCATTACAGTAAAGATTATAATCTTGAAAGACTGCTCTTTAACTATTCTTTCTGATTGTACTGGTCTCTTTGTTTTAAAGAGATAATTTTGTAAACCACTTATTGAGCTTTTGTTTATAATTTCTAAGCTATTTTCCAGAACTTTTAACTTGTTAGACTATTGAGCCATAAATGGTTTGGTTGTGTAGTGCTTAAAATTTCTTAAGTGTATATATACTTTTCTCCTAAATACTGGAGATTTAAAGAATTGCACTAATTCATAGGACTCCATAGTAGTGACCAATGCACATTTAATTTAAGTCTTGAATTGTTACGTTAAAGTTTGTGTGAAGGATTATCTCTGGTATCCTTTTATAAAGCCACAGCCATCATAAGATGTAAAAGAGGAACCATAGTTTTATATTTTAGTTTGTTGTAAAGTTGTCTGTGTTAAATACCTGTATGTGCTTAGATATAGGGCATCGTCTCTGTGCCCATAAAATGTGTAAAGAGTTACTCTCAAGGGTCCTTGAGGGGAATGAAAGAGGTGCCTTCTCTATATTACACTCAGAACTTAAAGTTGAAGAATTGGTTGAAACCTTAAAATGAGAACAAAAATTCCTAGTACCCAACCAATTGTGCCTGGATATTAAAGTATGTTTTTTAAGTGCTTTCCGTTTGATTAAATATATTTCTTTGGGTGTTTTTCCCCACATCCAAACTACATTTCAGCCATTTTTTAAACCTCAGCTCTACAAAAATAAATTCACCCTACTTGCTCACAGTAGTATTCAGTGTGGAAATCATGTCTCCATAATTGGTGAACCTTACTGCAAAAATTTATATTGTAAGAAATTTTTATGAAGTGGCAGTGTCTATTCCCAAGGAACTAAATATCACAGAGGTAATGTTTATTTAACCTGACTTGAAACAGTAGTGCAGTTAGATATAAATAAATATTTTTATAATTTAAAAGTTAGTGAAATTTTACTAGTTCAACCATACTTTTAGAAATTTGTCACATTCATTTGTAAGTCAGTTCTTGCTTACTCTCTCCAGAGTTCATGTAATGCTTAAAAGCTACACTTTTTCAGACCATTCTGTCAATATTTGTTGGTCTGCTTTACATGTGCTAAGTACTGTGGATTGACATAAAAGATAAGGTCACTTTCTTTGACATTTATTCTGTAAGTCAGGTTCTGCTTTATGTAATTCACAACTAACCTGTCCTTAGAGCCTTCATTTGTTTTAGAAGAAAATCATGACCTTTATTTTACCATAGAAATTTTTTTTTTTTAATAATTTCAGTGACCATTTACAGAGATTCTGGAATTCAGTTCATTCATTGTTGCACTTTACTCCCTGCCCAGCCCTCTCGCCTCCCCACCCCCACCCCAGTTCGCTCCTCTCTTTGAAAAGTAAAAGAAAAATTCTTTCTTTGATATACAGTCCCCCCCGCACCCCTCCCACTGCCCCAAATACACGCCACTATGCAATCTTAATTGTGGACTCTTGTGAATAAATTCTAATGACTAGAATTTAAGTGTACTATACTTTGGTATACTTGGTAAACTATTTTAATAGCCTAAAGTCCTGTAAGTGCATTTCTGAGTTCTGGCATACCACAAATAATAATTTGGGATTGTTTTTTATAGCTACAAGCACAGATCTAGTCTGTAGTTAAACATTACTTGGTGATTAATATAGTCAATGTATTTAAAATATTATATGTCATAAAACATTTGCTTCTTTTAGCCCAGAATTATATTAACACTCTAGAGTAGCCCTGCCAACCCAGAGCCATAGGTTGCTCAGTGGGAGAAAGATGGGTAGTCTCCTTGCTCCTGTGCAATTTACCACATCTGAAAACACTGAGTGTCAGCTTGGAGTTGGTTCCGTACATAACAACGATAACTATAGAGTGTTTTCATTCTGGAGATTATTAGAACGCTGTAATATGTCGAAGTTATACATGAAAAAGACTGGTTGTCATGACTATTATACCAAGATTGGTACTTTGATAGGAGTAATCACAAAAGCATGTTACTGTCTGTATCTACATTCTCATGGTAGCATCCTGCTAGCTCAGGCTCTGCTGCTTAAAATGGTATTTCTAGTTTTAAATTTATTATCATGCTTCCTTTTCAGTGGGCTTTTAAAACAATTTTCTAATTATGAAAAACTACATATTCATTATTATTTTGGACTACTATTAATCATCCTTTTTGTCTTAAGGTTTGCTCATACTCATAGTTGAATGAGTTTTGAAATTTTAATCCTTAGTATTCCCTCCCACCACATTTGAATTCATGCTGTAAGTATAACTTTCTAATTCTTTTTTCACTTTAAATAATTTCAAGCAAGGGTTTTATTCCCCCCCATCTTTATTTTTAAAAAGCCACAATGAACATCTTCATAAAAACACATCTGTTTACCAGTCATTTCCTCTGGAGGTATTTTAGAGTGGAAGGAGATCAAAAAAGTTACTGTGTATTTCATATGATCACATTTTCTTTTTCTCCTCCCCACCCTCCACCCCCCAAGACTTTACAGAAAAATTACCTTGATCTATTCCTTAAAAAGATTATCATTTCTTCTACTGACTCTGGGGAGCTCTACTAGTCGGTTGGCAGTTGCACTGGTAAACCACAGGGGGTGCCTCACAAGAGCCATGTAAACATTAAACATTCTGTAAGGCTCTGCCAGAGACACATGGGCAGTGTCTGCCCCTGTACTTTACTTTACAGCCTCCACAGACCTGCGGGAGGGTCATCTGTGAATTGGTGCAGCTAACTCAAGGGCCATGAGTTTCCATTTTCTGCTGAATATACTTAGGAATGAAATTCTTCCATGTCAGAGATAATAATAGTCAATTGTATCATTGTTTGCTTCCTTTTATTTTAAATGAGAAGATAGTGTTCTCTTTTTTTTTCTTTTGATATAATTAAAATTTACAAAGCAGATTTCTTTTTGCATTTAGTAATTGACACATTGTGTTTGGTGACATTGATCGCAGTCCCACTGTTAAAAAATACTCTTCCCACCTTTTCCCTGTATTTTCTGTGTCCGTTCAACCTTGTTTCCTATCCTTTCCCACATTCTTAGCTTTATCCTCAGGCAAATGCTGCCCTTTTGCTATTGCATGACTGGTTGTTCTGAAGGTTATGTTCCTCGGAGTTCCTGATCACCTTGCAGGCCTGACTCATGCGAACTGATTGCACTTCAGGCTTGAACAACGACCACTGGCCATAGTCTCAAGTGTCCACCTGCTCATCACACAGACCAGTCACCTTGGTCTCAATGATTTTTTACAGTTACACATTTTTTTCCCTTCTATCTGGGATATTGATGTTGATCCCTTTCAAAGTGATCAGTGGTAACCAGACATCGAGTTCTTCTAAACTGGATCATGGAAACTGACATTGGCGTGATGCATTAATCTTTTGCACTAATAATCCTTGGATCTTTTTACTCTTCTTTGCTCTAGATCAGAAGAAACCAGTGAGACCTTACATGTCGGCTCACAAACCTGTAAAACTCCAGTCACTACTCACCCAAGTAGGATGTAGAATAGTCCTTGTGGACTGGATTATGCCAGTGCACTGTGCTGTCTCCCACAGCTATATCCTGAGTTCCTAGATTCAGCAACTCATTCTCTAAAGATTTTGGTTACAGATAAGTTTTCATAATCTTGCTCTATTTACTGTATACATAGGAGTTTATTCTAGCACATACAGATACGTAGATTGATGTCTCAAATCTTCAGCTGCTGTTGATGAGATTGATTATATCTGTGGAAAGAATCATTGGAGACGCTTAATATCAAATGTGAAAAACCAGGCTAGTTGCTGACTCTGGAACAGACCTTCCATTCATGTGCAAGTTCAAGCTGAAGCTAATGAAAATTAAAACAGGAGCACACACAGCACAGACTCAGAAGTGCACACCCTCTGCCACACATGGCTGCACTCTGGCCTGGGTGTAGGCACCAAGGAGCTGCCAGCCTCGGTTACTGTGGCCATGTTGTCCCTAACTGGCCCACACTTTCACTGAGGCCAGTGAGAGCCCTGCTTGATCAGGTTCATCTGCTCTTGCCCAGATTGCAGCACCAGTTGCAAGGCCTAGAAGCCAGACGTGCACCTGTGCAAGCACACGGGGGCAGGGGGGTGGGGAACACTCAATGTGCTTGTGACTGTGAAGGCCGTGGCAAAGCCTTCATCAGGGAGTGTCCACTCAGCCACAATGCCCCAACCCACACTGGACAAAAGCCGCTTAGGTATGAAGCTAGTGGCTGTGGTCAGAAATTCAACACAATCAAAACTTGGAATATTTTGAGCACAAACATGAAAACCAGCAAAAGGCAGTATGTATATGACTTTGAAGGTTATAAGAAAGCCGTTAGGAAGCAGCAACTTAAAGTCCACCAGGGCCCATGTTCATGTGTAACCATGAAG